GAGTATCTGATCAATAAATAATCAAAAACGGTAAGGTTTAAGTGTGATAAACCTTAATCAAATTTACCTTTATTTCAATCGTAGAATCTTAAAAAAGAATAATATACAGGGTTCTAAAATAGAATAATATATAGTTGTTCCATTTAAAAAAATACCACTATAATATTTTTTACTTATTTGGGACACTCTGGATCTTGTAAAATTATTTTTAAATTGTAGCTCTAATAGTCCTTGAACGAACCCAGAACTTACAATTTGTAAAAACCTAATCGTTTAGCTACAATACTCCGTATCGTATGAGGTGAACTACCCTGTAATCTAGATTATAATCAAATTTTATATTTTTTAATATTATCCAAAATATACCAAAACGAGTAGTATAAACGAGAAAACCAGCATCAAGTTGGCTTCGAAATCAACATCAATTATATTCCTCAAATATTTTTACATATAAAATGACAGCTATCTTCATTCCCAAGTCTAACACCGTTTTTTTTTACTTTAGAAAGACTTAAATATATTTTTTAATATATTATGCACTTTTTTTCGATATACCTCAAATAAAAAAGAAGAACTTTCTATTATACTATAATATTGCACTCATTTCATTAAAATAAATATGCGTTTTTTACTTCTTTGAAATAAAAACTAATATCACTTGAGACGACAATACTGATACTTTTCTAATAATACTGTGCTTCATTTAAAGTAAAGGTCACCCTAAACGTGAAATTCTACATCAGCAAAGACTAAATATGTACAGTGGAAACTTAGACGTGTAGGGTTCGCTTTAGATATTGTTTAGAAAAACAAATTGCTGATTTTTAAAGAGGAGACTATTTGATGATCCCTCCGAAGGTTATATAAACTAAGATTTTTAATCTTACTGACTAGAAATTCTATATATACAACTTGTAGCAAATTCGATATCAATGAGACCATTTTTTGTATAAAAATTGTACTATATTATAAGAAATTTACAATAACTACAGAATGAAATTTTATCTCAATATTTTTATTTGAGAATTTTCTACGGAGTGATATACTTTAACACAGACTATGAGCATAAATCAATGTATGTTTTATCATGCACTCAGATACAAAAAAAAACGCAACGGAAAAATTTTTCTTCAATTTTTTTTAATTTTTAGTCCTCTTTTTATATTTTTTTTAGCAAACTGTATATAAGTATATCAACTTTAATTCGTAACCTCAGTTTTTATAAATTTTAGTATTTGGCTAATTATACAGGGTTATTCGAAGTGTCGTTTCTTATTCTAACTTTAAAATACCCTGTGCAGTAATATTCTGAGCAAATTTTCTGAAAACATTATTTTTCAGTTAGAGTCATGTCTCCTGAACATTTGATTTTTTGGTTCATGTCAACAATTGGCTTGGTTAATTTTTAAAAGCAAAATAAACTCGCCACCTACAATTTGAAATGTTTTCAATTATCAATACTTTTTGATGATATTTTTCGATATGAGGAGGTGGCTTAGGTGAGTATTGTAAACTATTAACTAGCTAGCATTAATTAATAATAATAATAATTATTTATTGTGAACTATTAACATGCTAGCTACTATTAACTAGCTAGCATGTTAGACATATACAGGGTGGCCCATCGAAAATGTTCCGCAAGGCATAACGGCCAGGGTATTTTTTTTTCAGAAAATTCAAAAACACGTCAATTTTTTTTGTGAGGGGGACAACTTTTACCCCAAAAATGATTGCAAAATCTTCAACCCTCAAGGCGGGGGTGTCATCCCCTAACTTTTTTCAAATGGGAAGGGGGGTCAGGAGGTACCGCAATGAAAAGGGCTTTTTATTCTCTATACTTTCCCGCTTCGTTTTTGAAAATCGGTCGAGTCATTGAGAAAATATGAAGGATTGAAATTTGAAAAGTTTATTTAAACATTTATCAGAGTAAAATTGTTCGCGAGTTAGAAGCAAAATTTCGCGAAACTGGTTCCGTTATGAATAAAAAGAGGCAGAGGGAAAACCCTGTAGTAAATGAAGCTATGGAGGTATTCGTATTGGGCCAAGTTGCCATGGATAGTACGCTGAGTACAAGAAAATTAGCCCATGCAAAATTAGCCGGCGTGAATCGTACAATAAGTGTCCAAAGGATATTAAAAAAACACAAGTTCGACCCGTACAAAATTCAGTTGGTACAAGAATTCACCGAAGACGATTTTGATCGTCGCTTGCAATATTGTGAAACTATGAGTGAACGAGTTGCGAATGATAATAATTTCCTATTTAATGTGTGTTTTTCGGATAAGTGTACTTTCTTTTTGAACGGTGTAGTTAATCGGCATAACTGTCGGTACTGGGCTGAGGACAACCCCAGGGTTTTTCACGAGGTGCACACACAAAACCCTCAGAAATTGAACGTGTGGGCTGGTATTTTTGGAAATTCTGTTGTAGGTCAGTTTAACGATATTGAGAAGAACTTCAACGCACAAGTCACAGAACAGCTATCTAGCAACTGCCGCACCTGATCGTTCAACCTTGTGGCAAGTGAAAAAATGCGTAAACATCTAGAAATAATAAGAAAAAACAGCAAATTGGCCGAAGGAATTTATCCTTATCATTTACTCTGATAAATGTTTAAATAAACTTTTCAAATTTCAATCCTTCATATTTTCTCAATGACTCGACCGATTTTCAAAAACGAAGCGGGAACAACCAACAAATATAGTTCTATAGAAAAAGCAATTGCTTCTCTTTATTCATCAGGCCCAATATGATATTTGCAGCACTTTGCAGTATGGACCTGTCTACTGGCAGTTATAGTAGCCAAAGGAGGCAATAAAAAGTATTGGGTTATTCTTTACAAGTGTTTTTCTCTGTTTGTGGTTGATTAATTGTTATTGGTCAATTATTACAGTTGATTTCTTTAATATCTTAGTTTTCTTGTTATTAATGTTTATTAAAACTTTGACTGTATCGTTATAATTTAATAACTTTAATGTTTTGTTTTTAATTTAGTATAGTATAGGGTACCTAATGGCGGCGTCAATATGATACTACAACAATAGTCACAAAAGCCACCTCAAGTAATGTTTTAGGACCCTTTTATTAACCCTTTGTAATAAGCCAAATACTAAAGATTATAAAAAACTGGGATTAAAAAAAGATTATAAAAAACTTGATTTACAGTTTGGCTATAATTTTAAAATTTGGCTAAAAATAAAAAAAATATAACACTTAAAATTTGAAGAAAAATGTTTCCGTTGCTTTTACTTTGTATCTGAGTGTAGTTACCGTAGACAAATAAATTGTAGTAAGAGGATATTGACTCATGGCCTGTTTTATTCACTTTTCATTTTTATTCACATTTATTTATGACACAGTTAAATAATGAAGTATTATATTTTTACATACCTAAGCGGAAAATATTCCACGGTATTTATTCAAGTAAATCACTCCGTATATGAGTAATTTATGAAGCTAAGATAGAATATATTTTACAGTAGACTTAAACAATATATAATAAATTATTTATGTAATTTCAGTTAAGAGAATAGAGAATGAGATGCTAGAGAAGATGTCAAAGATAGAGCTAATTCGAGAAACGACGATTTTATGAAGAAATTTGGAGCTATATGTATAGCTTTGGCCGATTATCACAGCATATAATTATGATAAGTACGTCAATTCGCACAGTTTGCCCTTTATACACTGAGTAATTTACAATTTTTGACATTACAATTATTCTCCGAAGAAACGACACAAAATATTTTAAATATCTGTAATTACTGAAAATATATTTACTGATCTTTAAATTATTATCTAAAATTGATTATTACCCCATTTTATGTCGAAAAAATAGGTAGAAGATAATTAAATAATAAGAAATTATGCTTTTTTTAAGAAATATCAGTAACTTTTAAATTCTTTTATAAAATGTAGTAATTATATTGATTGCTATAAAGTTGTTATCTTGATTGCTGATAAGTGTGGAATACCATAATATTAAAAGCAAAATATGTAGTTAATAAACTACAAACACAAAAATATAATTCCATTGTAACAAAAAGAAAATAGTAAACCATTGAATAAAATGCATCCCAACGCAATTTTATTTCCTTTAATCACAGACATTAAAGTATTTTTTTTGAAAAGCGGATTATTTCAGAAACAAAGAAATATTGAGCTTAAATACATGTTAACGTAAAAGGAACGCCCAGTATATAAATACTTACTTTATGTTATCTTCTCTAGAGCTGCGATTTGTCTCATAAATTATAAATTGACTAGAATGTTGAAATATTTTTCTTAACTCTTACATTTTTCTTTCGCTATAAAGTGATATCAGTCAAAGATGTATAACATGCTCTTATTTTTGAAAATGATGTTCTAGTTTTTTTTTATAATGTATAAAGAAAAATATAGTGAGTTAATTTTAATAAGGAAATTGTAATACGATATTTCAAAAATACACCCTGTACAGGTTGTCCCATTTTTGTGTGTTTTATGGGGTCTCTTGTTTATGAGTAGAGAGAAGAGTAGACTCCAGTGGCGTAACTAGTTTTTCGCTGGGAACTGTCATTTTGAAGTGAAACTTTTTTGCGCGAGCTGAGAGTAAGAATTCAAGGCCGTGACACAAGCTTTTTCAATGAGAGCAGTTTAAATTTTGAAATATTTTATAATTTTTGAAGATTCTCACTTTGACCAGAGATAATTATTACTCTTCTTGTCTACAGTTGTTCTTAGCAACCGCTATAGCAGCGCCAGATCCCGTACAACGTATTCATCCCAAAACAATAATTATAAGTTTTGGCAGCAAGCCGAGCATTCATATCTAAGCTTGTTTCCTTTATATATGATACAAGGCAAAATCTGTCACCGTCAACTGAAACTGTCAAATGAAAAAAAAATGTTTTGTGTTACAGACGCTTGAAAAACTGATTATGATTCTGTTACTACAGAATTAGTGACTAGATTCGGAGAAACAAAGTTTAAAACTGTAATAAATACCTTTGTATAATTAAATAAATCGTCTATAACGCATGTAATACATCTTTGACGTACCTTTTTTACTATACCCGCCAAACATAACCACAAACAAAAACTTACACGAAGCAAAACCACCCGTCCACCACTTAAAACCCGAAGTTAACTTCCGGTCAGTGCTGCGCAGCGAACTTCATCCTCTTCTGCTTCTGCCGCTGGTTACAGAACCACACCCTCACTACGTTCTTCTTCAGGTCCAACTTCTCGGCGATGGCCGCTATCTTCTCCCCGCTGGGCCTCGGCTGCACCGCGAAGTACGCCTCCAGGCTGCGCTTCTCCGGCGCCGCTATGGAGGTGCGTTTCCGCTTTTTCTCCCCAGCGGGCAGGACGCTGGGGGCGTCCGGGTCCCGGCGTTTGTTCTTGGCCTGGGCCTCGGCTTCCTCCAGCCAGGCTTGGAGGATGGGTTTGAGGGCGATCATGTTGTTGTGGGAGAGGGTGAGCGACTCGAAGCGGCAGATTGTTGATTGGGAGAGGGCTCCGACGCCGGGGAGTTTGAGGTTGGCGAGGGCCTTGCCGACGTCGGCCTGGGTGACGCCGAGTTTGATGCGTCGTTGCTTGAATCTGGAAAGAAGGAAATCGAAATGAGCAACAGCTTCTGTATATACAAAGATATTTAAACACAAGAGATAGAATTGTTTACCGTTTTCTTCCATCGGCCATTATTCTATCCTTATTTTCCCATCTTTGTTACACCGAAAACATTTGCCAGATTTACTTGTATATTGGTATTAGTATTCGATTAAATACCACAACCAATTTCATAATTGGTTGAATTGATATGAATGATTGAAAAAAAATACGTTAGCAAATTAATGTACTTGATGCATTATAGAAATATAACGAAATTATTACTTCATAGTAATAATTTCGTTTTATTTCTATAATGTATCAAGTACATTAATTTGCTAAGATAATTTTTTTCATTTAATGCTTAACTGCTCAACTATTTTAAATTTTATAATGGAATAAAAATATCATGGTCGTGTTTCTTTTAATAATAAAAAGCAGTTTGGCAACGTCAGTTTTAGAAATATGCCAGCGTAGTACAACGGATTTCGAGGATGAATGAAAATTCCCAGATTCTACGGTTGCGAGGTTGCTATTCCGCCGTTGAAGCTCCGTATTCTTTATTATTTGCAGTATTATAGTATTTTTGCGTTATTTTGTGGACTTGTGTGGACATTACTTTGAAAATATGGTGCATTCATGTATTGTGTACAAGAGAGTGTATCATTTAAATCCAAATTTAACTTTTTGTCGGTAAATAAAAATAAGTAGGGTTAGGTATATTATTATATCGTTGTCTGTAGATCAGAGGCGTATCTAGACATAAAAGATAGCAGATTTCTAAATTATATATTTTTGAAATATTTCAGTTATAATCGTAAACAATATAACAACATTCATGTCAAAGTATGTATTTTTTTCTTCTGGCAACTTTTTAGTGTGGTGTTACATTATGTATTTTTACCACACCACTTTAATTGGGGGCAATAAAAAATCGTACCTTTCAGCGAAAGCTTCTAATTCTCTTGGATCCGTGTCAGCATCGGGATGCAGTCCAGCCACAGCTGCAGCAGCCGCTGCTGCTGCCATTGCTGACGGGTGATGCGCACCAGGATGGCCCCCATGTCCAGGATGGTGACCTGAAAACATAACTAATTGCGGTTAATTATTCTATTTTTCTTTCGTATAATACTAAACTTTTTGACTTTCATATAAGTTTTTATTTTTATTTTCTTATTGCATATTAAAAATGTTTAAAACATAAATTAAAATCAATTGGTACCGAAAACTAAGTTAAGAAATACGAGTCAAAAATATTCAGGATTTGCACATTTATTGATTTTTGTCAGATAATATATTTTGAAGTAGAATTTACTCAGTATCTACCTGGTGCTCCGTGTCCTGATAATGGTCCCCCGTGGTGATGGTGGTTCATAAAATGATTGGTACCATAAGCGGAATGCATGTGAGACGGCGTTTCCGACATAGGCGTTAATGTGGTCATCGAAGACGATGAAATGGGGTCCAACATCTCTAAGCCGTCCATGTGGCTCATCTGAAACAATGAACTACTTTATATAACATGCTACAGAGAGAATTGTAAATCTGATGAACCGGCAGTAAAAAAAGGCAACCAATTTAAACCGATCATTTTAGAATAGCAATTTTATTAGGGTTCAAGATAGCAGTAAATTCCAACGCAGTTTATAACATCAAATAGGCTAAATATATGTATGCCTACAGTGTTTACATGCATGTATAACCAACATTGATATATTTCCATCAAGATAACCACAACGTATTACGTCTCCAACGTGACGTAATACGCCAAATCAATACAATTTAGCTTTATTTTTCTTTTCATTTGTAACATTATTATTACACATTATAAAAAGCAATGAAAAATGAAATAGTTGGTTATAATAAATTTGCTCATTATGTTTATATATCCAATATTTATCAGCTCTTCACTAGTATCAAAACAAACCAAGAATAAATAATATGCTCTTTCTAAATGATATTTAAATTAGTTTTCCATAATAGTAGGACTAATCAGAAGGAAATGAAAACTAAGTGGATAATAAGAGATTTTTGTAATTTAATTATTGAATAAGAATCTGAAATTAGATAAGAATATTTAGGTTAGTTTAATTAGTCGTTATACATTGTGATAATAAACTGCATATTAGAGTTACATTAACTAGTTTTATTCCAAAAAAGGTGATATAGACGGTATCCAATATAAAATAATATGATACATTTTAAATTAGAGTATTAAAAAATTGGCGCCGGGAGGCACGTACTGCCCATACTAAAATATGTTAATAAAAAGTTGGTAGGCAGTTCTTTTAGTTTCAAAGTAAAGGAATTTTTCCAATTTTTTTTTATCTCAAAAACTGCGACTTTGACTGATTTTGATGTTATTACAAATTTTGTTGCAAATATTATTCCTAATCTTAAATTGAAAACCGCGTTTTGCTAGCTACTCTAATTTTAGAGTTACGATTTTTTAAAATTTTTAACCCCCTCCCGTACCTCCTTACCAACCCCCACCCCCACCAAAACCTGATAGCCAGATTCCCGGGTGCCACAGTATTTTTGTGCCAAATTTGGTTAAAATCGGTTAAGCGGTTTTTGAGTTATCGTGTTAAGCGGCCCATACATTATCAAACAAATTGCGCAACAGCAAATTGCAGGCTGTTGCGCAACGAGTTGCCAATGTATGGTAACGTTTGATGTGTTGCGCAATTGTTTGATAAGTTTCAAGAATGCTTGAATTATTTTGTGCAGTGTAGTGTGTGTGTTGCGCTTCGTTGTGCAATCTTTTAGTTCTTTCATCCAAATTCTTTGTTTTCTTTTTCGTTTTTTGGTATCATTGACATCATCTAGGGTATATACGATATTAATAGACACAATTGCAATTGAGGACATGATTGTTTCTCAAACAATGCACAACTTTTAATAAAAAGTTTGATCAAAATTTTACTAAATGCATAGGTGATACAGTTGTGCAAGGGAGCGTTGCGCATCGCTTTGTTGTGCAACTTCTTTGATAGTGTATGGACCGCTGAATCAGCTGTGCAACGCAACGTTGCGCAATTTGTTTGATAATGTATGGGCTGCTTGACAAACAGACAGACAGACAGACACCATGAAAATATTTTGTATTTAGGTCATTTATGACCCAAATAACTCATTTTATGTGAAATTAAAAAACTTTTTTTTTGCCGATCTTAATAGTCTATAAATAATTACACATACCTATTGGTATGGTCGGCTAAATAATACATATTTTTAAAAATTTAAAGGACAAAGTGCACCTTTCAATGAGCTTATCATATCGTTCCATCTTCTTTTGCTACTTCCTCGTTAACAGTATTTTAAAAATTTATGTTTTCGATATTTATTGAAAAATGAAACTGTACTAAAAATGCAGTTCTGAAAAATAGTAATGTTTTACACAGAAAAATGTGTCGATTTTGCAAATAACAAAGTCAAAACTTTTAATTCAAATGAAAACAAAAAATTTACGTCGATATTTGAAATTGAATATTGAATAAGTTTGCCAACATTTTTGAATCGGTAATTTGTGTAAGCATCGGTACCTCTATCGGTAAAGTACAATTGTAGATTGTTTCTTACTAGTAGCTCTTGATACAGTTTAAAACCATACCTAAAATATCTTAAGAAAACATTGTATAAATGAACTCTTATAATAATTATTTTTTTTGTATCTTGGCCTTTAACCTGCATATGCTACTATTATTTTAAACTAATTTATCTAGATAACTTCGAATGCTTCCCTAGGCACGTAAAGTCAAAAGTAAAGACATTTAACCTTTTATTCCAAAATCTATCAAGTCCGTTTCTGTGCCCCTGTGGTATTCATTCGTATACACGTTAATCAGACAAGCGAATTAGGCAGATCAAAAGCTACTTTTATTAATTATTTATGGACTTAACTAACAAACAAACGAATACAAAAACGACATGCAGAGTAAAACAGTACTGATTGATTAAATGGTGCAATGGATTGGAGGAGGTTAATATTTAATGTTTTTCTTTTTCAAGAGAAACTAGTTTATTTTCTGTTCTAATATTATAATATAGTCTAATATACTTATATTTGAGAAGTAATATAAAGGGAGCTGATATGTATGGGAACGGGCGATTGTTAGGTAAAATATACAAGGTGCTACAAAAAATTAAATACAAAAGTTTAGGGTTTATAACTCTCTATTAGCCAGTTGTAAATTTTAATATACAGGGGCGCTTATAAAGTTGTGGCACATGAAAATCTACTTGTTTTAAATGGAACCCCCTGTATATTATGGCATATTTCAATTCTTTCTTCAATTTTAAACAATAATCGTAGTACACATAATGTACCTGAACTCAACCATTTCCGAATTATGAAGGGCTGATTTTGAAATTTTAAGCAAAAATTTTGTAATTTCCAGATTTGATATAATCTCATTTTATACATCTATAAAAGCTAACTTGAAAACTAATGTCAAATATTGTTAAGTATCACAGTTTCCGAGGAATAGCATCGTTAAATGGAACCGAACACGTCACAAAAGTCAATAGTAACTCGAAAACGGTTGGTTTGGGGAACATTGTGTATATTTCGATTTTTGCTTAGAATTAAAGGAAAAATTAAAATATGGCAATAATATACAGGGTTTTATATTTAAAAATCGTGTTTCTATACGGTGCTTCCAAGTCATAACATGACAACGAGATAGAGAAAAAAACGAAAAATACAAGAAACAAACGAGAGCCTTTGCTGTATAGACACAGAGTCGCCCATGATTGTAGACGTTGTCCAGGACAGCTGCGGATGTAGCCAAGAATAACCGAAATTATTTTTTTCTCTCTCTCTTGGTTTTGGTAATATATATCAATAATCGTAAATTAGGAATATAATAAAAAATTAACAAATTTTTGGGTTGCAGCTAAATTGAAAATTGGATTTTGAAAAAGGAACATCAGTAAAACCAAAAACTGGTTGCACTATGTGCTAATATTTGAAGTGAAACTTCTAACTAACAGCTATTAAAATGAAGGATTTAAAGGATATATATTTTTTTATGAATGCTTTATATAAACTCCAAAAATTAGAGTTGATACAAAACCGTATACTATTCTAGCTTTATAATTTTATGTTTTTTTTTTAATTTTTATTAAAAAACGATAACTTTATTACCCGGCCGGATAGCCTATATCTCTTACTACTACTAACTGCTACTAAAGAACAATTTGTTTTGTGTAGTCTGTGGTCTGTTTTTGTTTAAATATTTTGTTGATTATTCATTTTGGAGATTTATTTTTTAATTAATGTTAGTCGTTAAGCAACCAGTAAACTCATAGTATATGTATTTCTTTTGCATAATCAAAATCATACACATGTCACTCTAAATTTTACATAACCAAATTATCACTGTAAATCGCTGACTTTTTTAGACAGATGTCGCTTTGTTCAATATATTCAATACTCACACACTAATAGTGACATACTATGTTCAATATATTCAATCGCAGTTTTGTTGTCGAAACCATTTGCGTTCAGTAATACTTGCAAGTAGCTTAAAATATGTGGAATTGGAACACTTGGAAACAACGGAGATACATCTAAGGGGGACACTAAAATTTCACTCTCATCTAATGTTATATTTTTAATTTTGTTAATGAAATGTATATTGTCTTTAACTGAGAAAGAGGGTTTATGGGTAGGTAAACTTTCGAACTCTGTAGATAACCATTTTGCCAGAATATAAGTCGGAGAACCTACAACGGAAACTATTGGACGCATAGATTTATCGGCTTTTTTTAATTTAAAATGTCAAAAATTGACGTATGATATGTCATTCTATTCAGAATGTCATTATCAAATTTAAAAAGTAAATTAATACTAAGGGTACCATTTATAAATCAAAAGTTGTAGAAGTTTCCAGTGAAACAGGAAGCGAGGGAAACTATTTGAATAGTACCTCATCAATTCCGATTTATGTCATATACTAGCATAATAAATTTCGTTTTATTATCTGAAAAAATAAAAAAATTATAGAGATGAGCCACTCTGAAGAAACACCCGGTATACCTATTCAATATTTTCTCTTCAACAGTAACAGTCCGGTCGAGATATTAAATCCAGTGATTTTTTAGGGGACCTTTTTTATGATTCTGAATAATTTTTAAGGTATTTTGGTTTGGTCATTTCGAAAATTTCGGCGTTTGGTCGCTACATTAAAGTATTCGATTTAAATCGAGCTTTTTCACTTATTTCGATTTGAAAGATTTTTGGACGTATATCGATGCAGATCGATTAGTTAAATTTTTTAGTATCCACAGTTTGTCAAAAAAGTACTTACAAGGTAAGAAAAAAATCCAATTTTTCATTTTCGGCATTTTTTTTAAATACAACATAAATTAAAAAGCGGGTCAAATTGCATTTATAGTTCTTACATTAACGCCTTCTAACAGTACCAGATGAGAAAAGTCGAAAAGTTAATAAATAAAAATACAATTTTTTTTCAAAGGGGTATATCCAAG